ATACTATGAGATTTTTTCTGATATCAGAAAAATAAATATCTCATTGTTGTCCATTCTTCAAAAAATTTCTGAACATACTGTACATGTATTTAAGTCAGCTTTTTTTTTGTCTGAGACTACTATAACATAAGAAGTGACCAATCTCTATGTTAATTGTTATAGTAGTCTCAGGTTTTTGTTTTGTAGTTCAATTGACTATGCATTTTAGAGCAGTTAAATATGAATTTGGATTAAATTTGAAGTTGATTCTGTATATTTTATGACATAATAACACTCTTTTATTTAAACAAAGCATTTTCAGACTTTATTTACAGACCAGCTTAGCTAATCATTCATTATTCAATCAATAATTTAATTAAAGGACTCAACAGTTGTTTGTAGGACTTATGAATTCAAATATAAGGAAAAATAAAATGCTCCGCAGGGCGCAGCTTGATACGACCGCAGAGGTCGAACCCTGAACAGTTGGGGGAAGTATGGACACAACATTCAAGCTTGATACAGCTTTGGATTTGGATTGTGATTAAATATTTGACACAGCATAGGTTTCTAACACAGATTGAATGTGGTCTAAGAACTTAAAAATTTTAAATTGGACATTCACCTATTATGGTCCAATATCCAAAATCTAAATACATGGTTAGATTCAGCATATCAAAGAACCCCAAGAATTCAATTTTTGATGAAATCAAACAAAGTTTAATTTTGGACCCTTTTGACCTCAATGTGGACAAAGTTGATAACGGGGCCCAAAAATCAAAAATCTAAATACATGGATAGATTCAGTATATCAAAGAACCCCATATATTCAATTTTTGTTGAAATCAAACAAAGTTTAATTTTGGACCCCGATTTGGACCAACTTGAAAACTGGGCCCATAATCAAAAATCTAAATACATGTTTAGATTCAGCATATCAAAGAACCCTAAGAATTCAATTTTTGTTAAAATCAAACTAAGTTTAATTTTGGACCCTTTGGACCTTAATGTAGACCAATTTGAAAACGGAACCAAAAATTAAGAATCTAACTACACGGTTAGATTCGGCATATCAAAGAACCCCAATAATTCAATTTTTGATGAAATCAAACAAAGTTTAATTTTGGACCCTTTTGACCTCAATGTGGACAAAGTTGATAACGGGGCCCAAAAATAAAAAATCTAAATACATGGTTAGATTCAGCATATCAAAGAACCCCATATATTCAATTTTTGTTGAAATCAAACAAAGTTTAATTTTGGACCCCGATTTGGACCAACTTGAAAACTGGGCCCATAATCAAAAATCTAAATACATGTTTAGATTCAGCATACCAAAGAACCCTAAGAATTCGATTTTTGTTAAAATCAAACTAAGTTTAATTTTGGACCCTTTGGACCTTAATGTAGACCAATTTGAAAATGGAACCAAAATTTAAGAATCTAAATACACAGTTAGATTCGGCATATCAAAGAACCCCAATAATTCAATTTTTGATGAAATCAAACAAAGTTTAATTTTGGACCCTTTGGACCTCAATGTGGACCAATTTAAAAACGGGGCCCAAAATCCAAAAACTAAATACACGGTTAGATTCAGCATATTAAAGAACCCCATGAAATCAAGAATAAAACCCCATTGAAATTGGTCAAGAAATAAGCAATTTATAGGAAGTATCTTCTTTTGCACAATCCTGTGCTATTAAATATTTCTTGCTATTGCGCAATACTGTACAATTGACAATTTCTTGCTATTGCGCAATATTGTGCTATTGGATATTTCTTGCTATTGCGCAATACTGTGCAATTGAAGATTTCTTGCTATTGCGCAATACTGTGCAATTGAAGATTTCTTGCTATTGTGCAATACTGTGCAATTGAAAATTTCTTGCTATTGCACAATACTTATTATATAATAATTTACACATCCTGTTTGGTGTGTATCTCCTACCATATCATTATTATTTGATTTTAAATATAAATCAGAAATAACCAACTTAAAATGGAAAATTTTAAAAGAAACAAAAAAGGAAAAAAAGAAAAAAAAGGAAAAAAAAAATAAATCCCCCCCCCAAAATTTTTTGAACCCCCATTATGATTCATCACCCCCAAACTCAATCCCAGCCTTCCCTTTGTGGTATGGTACCTTGCAGTACAATTTCAGAGGGATCCATACACTTGAACACAAGTTATTGTCTGGGAACTAGAAAAAAATGTGTTTTTTGGCCCCTTTTTGGCCCCAAATTCCTAAACGTTTAGGGCAATTACCCCCAAACTCAAACCCAGCTTTCCCTTTGTGATATGGAACCTTGTAGTACAATTTCAGAAAGATCCATACACTTACACACAAGTTATTGTCATGAAACTAGAAAAATGCTTGTTTTTTGCCCCTTTTTTGGCCCCTAATTCCTAAAATTTGGAGGCAATTACCCCCAAAATCTATCCCAGCATTCCTTTAGTGATATGGAACCTTGTGGTACAATGTCAGAGAGATCCATACACTAACACACAAGTTATGTCTGGAAGTTACAAAAATGCTTATTTTTGGCCCCTTTTTGGCCCCTAATTCCTTTACTGTTATTACAATAACCCCCAAAATCAATCCCAACCTTCCTTTTGTGGTATTGAACCTTGTGGTAAAATTTCATAAAGATCCATTCACTTAAACTAAAGTTAGAGTGCGAAAACCAATGTGTCTTCGGACGACGACGACGACGACGACGACGCCAACGTCATACCAATATACGACCACAAAAATTTTTTTGCGGTCGTATAAAAATCAAAACTTGAAGTAATACATGTAATAGGAATTATGAGAACTGCATGATATCAGATTGTAATACAGCTTTTTGTTCAGTTTTCTTTGTGTTGATTATAATGTTTTAAATCCCTTTCTGGCTTTTTGGATGTTCATATTTTTTCTCTTGAGTAAGAGCGAGCAACGGAACTTGTACATCTTATATAGTTTCTTATCTCGGGGGTGGATCAAGCCAATTTTCAAAGAGGAGGGGGGCATGTATTGTCTACATTTTCTTTTTTTCCATATTGTATTTTAATGTAATGCAATGTTAAATTCTATCACAGCACAAGTTCTGCTGACAAATGGCTGATAAACCCCTCTTGTATGTAATTATTTGGCATGAAATGAAATATGTTTTTTCTGTATATGGAAATTAGGAATAATCCACCCTCTCTTTATTAAAGACCTGGATCTGCTTAAAAGTTCTTGCTTTTCTCAGAATTTTCCATTGTTACATCAGGAATAAAGGCTACCAATAATCATGCTTGACGATCATTGAGGTCACACATAAAGAACCCATCTCTTTGCAGATCATAGTAGAAAAACAAAGATACAATGTAGTTGGTAACATAAATGTATTTAAAAATATCAAGAGAAACATTCCCATACAGAATCTCTGTCAATAAGTTATTTTTCCACTCTTAACAGTGAAATCTTAAATATGTAAATTGATCGGCAAGCCTCGCATCTTGAAAAATAAAATGTCTGTAGGAAAGAACTATTGTTTCACAATTGATGCTGTGTTAGAATTTATAATATCACTCTTTTTTCCCCATATGATCAGCATAAAAAGTGACAAGTTCTTCAGTCTAAATAACTTTGTTAAATCTCATTTCTGATGGAACATTTTCAGTGCACCAGATTAACAACTTTCTATGTTAGATACTTATTTAAATATAAAAATTCAAGTCTAATTTTAGAGTGAAATTTTAATATATTTAAACAAACTGTTCTAAACAACCAACATTTACAAACACTGAGTTTATTTTCATATCCTTTCTAAGAATATTGATACAAAGAAAGTAAAACAAAGACTTGTATCATTCCATCTACCAAAAGGGTGTTTGAGAATATACAAATAAGTCCAAGTTTCAGAGAAAAGTCAGTTATCTATAATTTTCTTCTTTGGAAGTTTTCAAAAACCTGTTTTAGGGTACTTGAAAAAATGCCATATTCAAACATTCCATGACTATTTTAATGTTACTAGAGTAGAGGAACATTAAATATTGAATGGTTATTCAAAAAAGTGTCGAAATATAACTACAATCATTAATTTTACTCGAATTTACTGTTGTGAACTTGCAGTTTCCTACGATGCGTGTACGGAGTTATCTCCCGTTGATCTCCACGAATAAGCTGACACAATTGCGTATCCGGGGAATTTATGATCTATAATTAATATATAAGATCCAGAAAATGGTTTTACTTCATATTTTATACCCCTCCATACGTTACCAAACCCATTTAAGAAATGATTTGGGATTTTCCGTAGACCTACGCAAATTTTCCAAAAAAAATTTCAACTTCCATCCTTGTTTTAGAATACTTTTTTAACACCTTTCATAAATAAGTATACATAATAATGAAGCTTATTCACTCAAGATTTGGACCTTACAAGTTTTATTTATGTACGAGTTACAATTAGACGATACGAGGTAAAAAACCAAGAGGTGTACACGTTCACAAGAAAACGGTAAACTCTGACCTTTTATCACGTGACCAATGTCTTGAACTTAGATGCCATTAAATCATTTGCCGTTCAACTGAATAACCTTGCACAAATCTTAACTTGAATCAACCTCTTTTCAACATTGTTTACACTGAATGACGGTAACAGACACAATCACACACAAATGGTGACTTATGACTTGTTTACAATATTAAATGAAAATATGTTTGGCCACAACATAACAATTTTTAAGAAATAATTCTTTATAAAGTTTAAATGACAGCAAGTATAGATGGACAAAGATATAGACAAACGAATGGACAGAATAATTACTTAATGAGAAGGGGTGTGTATGATATGTACATCTATGTAACCCAAGGTAGGCATTATTACTTTTCCTATTCTAAAATACAGGGACATGGCCACTTTGACGCTGCCTACTAAATAATTAGTGAAAAAGTCAGAAACGACCACCTTAAACAACCTGTCTTGGCCCGAGATAACAGGTGCTTGTTACTGACCAACATAATCTGAGATTTTTCTATTAAGTACCTGCTGGTAGTTCCACTTTATAATTTTGATCGCCTTTATTCGTTTTTATTTCATTCAATAAATCGGTAAAAGGTGAAGGTTTAGCACCTGCATCATTTGCTGAACTGTAACATGTATTTGAATTGTTCAATTCTGAAAAATAATAACAAAAATTCTTTTAAAACAACAATAACTGATCAATGAATCTTTAATGACAGTTAAGATTAAAGTCATCGTTAGGAAATATTTTGTCATTTTTATTTGAATACTGTAGATTCATTATTATTCGTTGGATACATATTTTCATGGGTTTCGTGGGTACAGGTGAACCACGAATTCAAATGTTCAATGAATTACAAATTTTCGATAGGCTTTGTATGCAGAGACTGGCAAATGCACGAAATTAAATATCCACGAAAATGCAATTTTTCCTCAATCCACGAATATTGATACCCACGAAAATAAATGAATCCACAGTAAGTGAAGTGGAGATCTAAATGTGTAAGTTTTTCAAAAGAGATAAGTTGGTCACTAATAAAATGACAAGAATATACCATAACTGATTATTAATTCAGCCTAATTCAAACTTTTTTACTGGATACTAGTAAGAACTTCATTCTTTAAAAAGAGATTACAGGTTATGTAATATTGTCTTCTAGGAATGCATCATAGAAATTTTTAGTGTTCAAAGTACAGGATGCTTTAACAGCTTTATTTGCCTATGTGGTTAGTTAATTAACTTACTACAACCCAGCAGACATTGTGTTTCCTTGTCAGCAACAGTATCACCAGGGGCCTCCACAAAACATTCTACCCAGGTTACTTTGTTGCCCTTGGCAGTATAATCTACCTTTGAACACAAGGAACCAGTACATATCTGAAAGAAGAAATTTCATTTGGTTGTAATCATTGAAATATAAATAACGATTGCAAACCAGTGACAGTTTTGATATCATATTATGCAATCTACCTAAAAAAAAGATTAATAAGAGCTGGTTAAAGATTTTTTGAGTTAATGTCCGACATGTTGACAACCGACTGACAAGGTACACCATCATATGTCCCATAAACGGGCGTATAATTACCGTTTATATATTACTGGATAATTATCCTTACAGGGTTCAATTATCTGTACAGTTAAATATCTGGTGGAATTTTCATCAGTTAGGGTAAACTTCATTCTACTAATTTTGTATGTTACAGTAAATATTAAACCTATAGGTTATGGTAAACTGTATAAATTTAACTTGTACAAGTAATACCCATGACCATGATGACTTGTGAGTTTTACTATCTATCTATCATGAAGGAATTGCTGCTAGTACTTCACTTTCATTTAAAAGATGTGTGTTTCATATTTGTATTGATTGTAATGACAAATTGTGCACAAGGCAATGTTACATGTACAACTTAAGTTGAAGTTATTACTTGTCTTACTTTACTCTTTTGTCACAATTAGAACATGTTTATTTAAAGTATGATTAAATTTGTACTGTAGTATAGGTTAGATGATATCATATCTTATCATTAGAATACTACAGAAAACACTATTACCAAACCTAGCTTTCACACTGAAATGGTAACAACTAATTTATTCGATGCCAAATTATACTATAAACATTGTTGAAGTACAGGCTTTGTTCAGACAGTGGTTAATGTTTACAATTATATATGTATAGATATAGATATAAGAAGATGAGGTATGAGTGCCAATGAGACAACTCTCCATCCAAGTCAAAATTTATAAAAGTAAACCATTATAGGTCAAAGTACGGTCTTCAACACGGAGCCTTGGCTCACACCAAACAGCAAGCTATAAAGGGCCCCAAAAATGACTAGTGTAAAACAACTCAAATAGGAAAACCAACGGTCTAATCTATATAAAAAATTTGTAAGGGTTCCGTGGAACCCAGTATCTCGCCTACTTTTGCTGTTGTCTATGTTTTCAGTGAAATGTAGGATTCGCTATATCTCGCTTTTGGGACAAAAGTCACAGGCTCAACAAAAATGGGGAAAAAATTATTAAAAATTTTCCACTAGATACATTTGTACTATCTTTTGATTGTAAGAAGCTTCTGTCCAAGTTTGGTAAAAATCCAGGATGGTTTATGAATCTAATAAATGTTTTAAAAACTTTAACTGCAGACTGTATGTAATGTTAACTGGATGAAAAACTAAGTCTATTTATAAGTAAAATATGGAAAAACAGGAAATAAATTTTACAAATATTCCTTCTATATACTAGCTTTTGATAATAAACAAGCTTCCGTCCAAGTTTGGTACAAGTCCAGGATCGTTTAATCAAAATTTTTAAAACTTCGACCACAGAGTGAATGTAATGTTAACTGGCAGAAAAACTAAGTCCATTTTTACATAAAATACGGATAAACAGGACTTTTTTTTACAAAATTTACTTCTGGATACTATCTTATCAGCTCGACAAAAATGAGAAATGAGAAACACTTATGAACCACATCAACAAACGACAACCACTGAACATCAGGTGCAAACAAGTGCAGCAGTTTAAACGTTTAAATAGGTACCAACCTTCACCCTTACCTGAAACAATAGTGTATCATCACAACATAGAAAGACACACTATAAAATATCAATTGAAATGGCTTAACAAAAGACATATTAACAAAAAAATTCGTAAGAGTTCCGCGGAACCCAGTGTCTCGCCTACTTTTGCTGTTCATCGCAGGCTCAACAAAAATGAGATGAGGAAAAAATTTAATACAAATATTCCTCTCGATACAATTTTTTATTGTAAGAAGCTTCTGTCCAAGTTTGGTAAAAAATCCAGGATAGTTTATGAATCTAATAAATGTTTTAAAAAATTTAACTGCAGACTGTATGTTATGATAACTGGAAGAAAAACTAAGTCCATTTATAAGTAAAATATGGATAAACAAGTACAAAATTTTAATAAAAATTTCCTTCTAGATACTAGCTTTTGATCATAAACAAACTTCTGTCCATGTTTGGTACAAATCCAGGGTAGTTTGAGAAAGTTATTAAAATTTTAAAAACTTTAACCACAGAGTGAATGTAATGTTTCCTGGCAGAAAAACTAAGTCCATTTATAAGTAAAATTTGGAAAAACAGGAATTTTTTTTTTTACAAAATTTACTTCTGGATACTATCTTATGATCATAAACAAGTTTCTGTCCAAGTTTGGTAGAAATCCAGGATAGTTTAAGAAAGTTATTAAAATTTCAAAAACTTTAACCACAGAGTGAATATTTGTGGACGCCGCCGCCGACGACGCCGACGGAATGTAGGATCGCTATGTCTCGCTTTTTCGACAAAAGTCGAAGGCTCGACAATAAGTGAACATACACTGAACAAATAAATTTGATCTATGACACAATGTAAATACAAAATCAATAATAAAATAAGGGGTGAGATGTTAAACAATATCAGAAAGACAACCATAACCTTGGACAAAATGCTGCAAATAAAATAACGTACACAGTTAAATGAAAATAATTTTGTTGTAAGGTATACAGTCATGGAGTACGGAAATATTTTTTACAAAATAAATAATTTTGTTGTTCATAGTACGAGAACAGAAGTGAAAATTTATAGTCATACCAAACACTTATCAAAGCTGGTATATATTAAAAATAGTGAGACGAGATATATCACTAAATAAGTAAACATTAAATACATAAAATGTAAAGATATGTTTACATTACTTACCCCTTGAACACAAACTTTACTGTAGTCATTGCAGTAAGTTATATAGTCTGGTACGGCTGTAGAATTTGGACATGTTGCCTGGCCAGTGAAATAGGTTAAGGAAAGGTTTCAATTTGAATCAGATATATATATACATTTACCTGAATAAGAGAGTATTTTTGCTGATGTTAGCAGAATATCAACTGGAATAGGCAACCTGACAAAATGTTATAGCATTTAAATGCAAAAATCAAAGTATTAAGTCTGTGTAAAATTGTACGACTTTCAAGATTTTTCTGTTTGATTTATGATAACACTGTTAAAGGGGCACTAGCTACGAGATACATAAAAAATTTAAATTATGCTTTTTTTGTTCAATCATTAATAAAAGTGAAATAGTGAAATAATAATATGCTTTTAGCAGCCAGTATGGTTCAATTTTGTCAAAATAAGCTAAGAAACATCGATGATGAATTATTCACTTGCAAGTGAATAATTCGACCTCATTAAAACTGTATTCATGTGAACTTCAATTTATGGATTATGCATGATTGATGCGTGTTATGTTATTAAAAGAAAAGAATGTCAACATTGAAAGTGAAACAAAGGTAAATCATTTGATTGACTGATTCGATCCACAAAAAATCATTCTTATACAGGTAAAATCGAAAATTAACTTATTTTTTTTAACCTTAAACTTGAAATCAAACAGACATAGAAAAATCCATTTGCACGAGGTCCATATATCTATTTATATTTATGTTTATGTTTATATTGTGTTGTGTGACAGTCGGTAAATTTCTGGGTCATCTCGATAGTTAACAAGAAATGATTGTAACAGGATGCTGTTACGAAGTCTCCCAAACGAAGCTCCCATAATTCGTAATTCCCAGGGTCGCCTGACATTGGGCAACGTCCAGTGAAAATTGGTTTGGTCCAGTAAAGTTATATGCATTAGTGATGCCTGGGGACTAACCCTGTATATCATTCAAATCATCTTGGCATGACAAACCAGAATATATATGGTTTAGGGGTGGGGATCTCGACCATTTACAAGATACTAGAACATTGGGGGTTGGGGGAACCCCTGGGGACTGACCCTATACGTCATTCAAATGTTCGTTACATGACGAACAGGAATATATATGGTTTAGGGGTGGGGATCTCAACCATTTACAAGATATTAGAACTTTCTCAAATGGCAGGGGGTCAGGATGACCCCTGGGGACTAACCCTGTATATCATTCAAAACATCTTAGCATGACAAACCAGAATATATATGGTTTAGGGATGGGGATCTTGACCACTTACAAGATATTAGAACTTTCTTAAATGGCAGGGGGTGGGGGTGACCCCTGGGGACTAACCCTGTATTTCATTTGATGTGCTTTACCATGACAAACCAGAATATATATGGTTTAGGGGTCGGGATCTCGACCATTTACAAGATATTAGAACTTTCTCAAATGGCAGGGGGTCAAGATGACCCCTGGGGACTAACCCTGTATATCATTCAAACCATCTTAGCATGACAAACCAGAATATATATGGTTTAGGGGTGGGGATCTTGACCAATTACAAGATATTAGAACTTTCTTAAATGGCATGGGGTGGGGGTGACACCTGGGGACTAACCCTGTATTACATTTGATGTGCTTTATCATGACAAACCAGAATATATATGGTTTAGGGGTGGGGATCTCGACCATTTACAAGATATTATAACTTTCTCAAATGGCAGGGGGTCAGGATGACCCCTGGGGACTAACCCTGTATATCATTCAAACCATCTTAGCATGACAAACCAGAATATATATGGTTTAGGGGTGGGGATCTTGACCACTTACAAGATATTAGAACTTATTTAAATGGCATAGGGTGGGGGTGACCCCTGGGGACTAACCCTGTATTTCATTTGATGTGCTTTATCATGACAAACCAGAATATATATGGTTTAGGGGTGGGGATCTCGACCATTTACAAGATATTAGAACTTTCTCAAATGGCAGGGGGTCGGGATGACCCCTGGGGACTAACCCTGTATATCATTCAAACCATCTTAGCATGACAAACCAAAATATATATGGTTTAGGGGTGGGGATCTTGACCACTTGCAAGGTATTGGAACTTTCTTAAATTGCAGGAGGTGGGGGTGACCCCTGGGGACTAACCCTGTATTTCATTTAATGGGCTTTATCATTTAGAACATTTCCAATTAAAAAGATTGTGTCTATCACAAACGGTTTTCAATTTATAATCATTTGAAAATTTTAAAAAATAAAATCCCATAGGGTTCTATAGTAAAACCCTCTTTTCTTTTTCCCCCTCAAAGTACCCCTTTATATAACCCATTGCACAAACAAAACCCTGATTGCACAATTAGACATGTTAGTCTGAAATATTGTGAAACCCTAAGTTAATCTGACAAGCGGTTTTGGAGAACGGGTGCGGACAAGTTCAAATTTAAAAGCGGCGGAAGAGGAAGAAGAAGAAGAAGAAGAAGAAGAATAATAATAATAAGAACTGAGCAAAAACAATAAGTCTTCCCAAACTTCGTTTGGGAGACTTAATTAGATGGCGTCTAGACTAAAATACACACGAAACGAAGCTACATATTATTGAGCCCATGCCCTGTAAATTGTTTATTTTAGACTTTTTATAATTTGGATAAATGTTTTACATTGATATAAATCTAATATGAGAATTTGAGTCAAATCGGTGAACATGAATTTGACAGCTAGTGCCCCTTTAAGTCTGCAACATCCAAAGGATTAAACTTATTTTTTCCTGTTTTTCATAGATTCACAGTGTAGCTGTTTTAACAAAAAGGATATGCACAGTTTGATGCAGCTGCACAGTCTGTTTGTGGTCTACACTGACGACCATCTGTGACTGGTGCACAGGTAACTGGATCACAGCAACCTCCTTGGGAAGGACTACAAGTAAAAATAAATAAATAAATGGTCTTTTTAAAAGTTTAATTGAACAAATTTGTGGTACATTTATTGTATGTTAAAAATTTTTTTCAACCAATCCATACTAGTACACATTTTTGTTTATGGGCCAGCTGAAGCCCGCCTTTGGGTGCGGGATTTACTCACTATTTTTATCAGACCCATTGGTAGCCTTGGGCTGTTTTCTCGTCTTTGGTCGGATTGTTGTCTTTTGACACATTCCCCATTTCCATTCTCAATTTAACTATATACTAAATTAAGTCATGTGTACAATTCACTTTACATTCAACTCTAATCCATAACATATAATCAAAGAAAACTATCTAGAACTTTACAACTTTTTTCCTTATTATCATTGGACATTACTTATACAAAGAGTGAAACAAATTTACTATTTTTCAATTTTCAAGTTAAAGTGCAATATGGTTGGTTATTTTAAAGCTGTGTTTAAAAATAGAATAAAACATGGCTAATGCAGTTATATACAGACCTTTCATAAAATTCTGCTCAAACCTGTACTCTGGGCCTTCTTCAAATTGTATTCAGCTTATATATGACATTGAGATGAAGAACAATAATAAAAAAACTGTTTCTTTGTTATGATATGTAAATAGGGATATTTGTGCCATGATTAAGTACACCACACCCTTTCTTTGCAGGCATAATTTTATGGATGACCAGGGTACTAGGGATTATAACCCTAGTCCTATCAAGTAAACAAGTTTAAACATGATGTTAAATAGTCACATTTACAAAATTTACTTTAAAGTATTCTAACCATGCACAATACATGTGTGACTTTCCTTTTTATGCAAATATTAATATCAAAATATCATTTACTTTGAACTCTTTTGTAATCACTTATTGTACAAAATTTAACTATCTTTCAAAAGAGCAAATATCCATAAAAATCAAAACCCTGACCACACACACACACCTTCTATATGTGCACAAACTGCCAGCAAAGTGAAAACTTTCTAGCATCTAAACTGTAGGAGGAGTTATCTGGAATAACTCTATACCCATAATGGAACGGTCGGACGGACAGGGGTAAAACAATATGCTCCCCAAATTTCAGTTGCTGGGCATAATAATCACATCAGAATTAATTTGCATGAAAGTTATATCTTTCAGCCAATAAACAAAGTAGGTTTATAATTGTTACCTGCAACTTGACCCTGATGTAAGTGTACATCCGTCGCCATTAGAATCTCGTCCAGCACAACAACCATCAGTACAATCTTCCTTATAACCACAGTCACACTCCTCTCCAGCTTCAACAATACTGTTACCACAGAATGCAGCATTGTCATCTAATAAAGGAAAATAGTAGTCCATGAACTTCGTTATAAGTTTTACCTTAAAATTTGATAAAACTGTGTAAGAAAAGTTGCCTTTCCCTAAAATACAATCATATGTTGTTTATTTTTAAGACGTGGTACACTAACCACTAACTGCTGTCCTTTAATGTAAGGGTCAAAATCATTTTAGTGAACAAGTTGTACATAGAACGAAGGAATTACAGGTGATTGGTAAACATGTATCCTCAAATCTTTAAAAGGAAGGATATTCCCCTTTTCTTTATATATATCTTCATCTATCTATCTTAACTAAGTAATACTTGAGTATGACAATAGAATTTCTAAGCAGACAACATAGTTCAAAAAAGAAATGGTCCCTTGAAAACTAAATATTTCTTGATGAATAAATTATAAATACTTTGGAAGCAGTTGACTTTCCCATATCTGCCATTAAACACAGCATCCATTACTCTTGTCATGTTGTCTTTACTACAAGGTGAGAATTCATCGTTATGTGGCTGGTTCCCTTTCGTAGCTGAAGCATACATGATGTAGTTTCCTTGGCTAGCATCTGATGCACCGGTACCATAAGGGGCACATTGCTGCCCACTGTCATGCTGAAAAATGTTATATACACTTCAAACATCATTGCATGGTCTTCAACTTACAAGCACACTGTTATCTTTACTCTATACAGCAAATAAAAAATTCATTTGAGGACCAACATTTGTGGAGATTAATATAAAATCAAAATTAACACTACTTGACAGGAGCACAGGAAAGAAAATCAGGTTTATATTGTATACTGTTTTAAATTTTTCAGGGGCAATAACTAAAAACAAGAGGCTCTCAAGAGCCTGAATCACTCACCTGTAATTTTTTGCTTAAATCTTTCATCAATGATTATTTTTGCTTTTTAATATATATTAATGAGTGGCTTAAAAATTCCTTTGAGATGTTCTTAGTATCTGTCATATTTTTTTCAAAAGCAAAGAAATACATTTTACCCCTATGTTCCATTTTAGCAATAGTGGCTATGTTTCTTGACGTACAAGAAAATAAAATACAAAATTTATACTAGATACTCTGAAACTCATTCTGCACGTTTGGCTGAAATTGATTCAGCAGTTTCAAAGGAGAAGATTTTTTTAAAGTAAGCAAACTAGATGAACAAATTGTGAAAAATTGTCTTTAAAGGGCAATAACTCCTTAAGGACACATTTGACAATTTTAGTCATATTAACTTATTTGTAGAACTTACTTTGCTGAACATTTTTGCTGTTCACAGTTTATCTTTATCATTAATAATATTCAAGATAATAACCAAAAACTGCAAAATTCCTTAAAATTACCATTTTAGTGGGAGCAACCCAACAATGGACTGTTAGATTCGTCTGAAAATTTCATGGCTGATAGATCTTGGCCTAATGAACATTTTAACCTCTCATCAGATTTGCTCTAATTGCTTAAGTGTTTGAGATATATAAGCCAAAAACTGCATTTTACCCCTATGTTCTAATTTTAGCCATGGCGGCCATGTTTTTTGACGAAACAGAAAATAAAACACATGCTTTATTCTAGATACCCTAAGGATCATTCAGCTTAAGTTTGGTTGGAATTGGTTCAGTAGTTTCAGAAGAGAAATTTTTTAAAGTTAGAAAACATGATTAACAAATTGTGTAAAATTGTCCTCAAAGGGCAATAACTCTTTAAGGGGTAAATTGACAATTTTGGTCATAGAAACTTATTTGTAGATCTAACTTTGCTGAAAACTTTTGCTGTTTACAGTTTATCTTTATCTTTAATACTATTCAAGATAATAACCAAAAACTGCAAAATTTCCTTAAAATTACCGATTTAGTGGCAGCAACCCAACAATGGGTTATTAGATTCATCTGAAAATTTCAGGGCTGATAGAACTTCACCTATTGAACACTTTTATCCCATGTCAGATTTGTGCTAACTCTTTTGGTTTTTTAGATATAAGCCAAAAACTGCATTTTACCCCTATGTTCTATTTTTAGCCATGGTGGCCATGTTTTTTGACGAAACAAAAAATAAAACACAAACTTTATTCTAGATACCCTAAGGTTCATTTAGCTTAAGTTTGGTTGTAATTGGTTCAGTGGTTTCAGAGGATAAGATTTTTTAAAGTAAGAAAACATGATAAACAAATTGTGTAAAATTGTCCTTAAAGGGCAATAACTCTTTAAGGGGTAAATTGACAATTTTAGTCATATAAACTTATTTGTAGATCTTACTTTGCTGAACATAATAGCTTTTACAGTTTATCTTTATCATTAATACTATTCAAGATAATAACCAAAAACTGCAAAATTTCCTTAAAATTACCAATTTAGTGGCAGCAACCCAACAATGGGTTATTAGATTCATCTGAAAATTTCAGGGCTGATAGAACTTCACCTAATGTACACTTGTACCGCATGTCAGATTTGCTCTAACTGCTTTGGTTTTTGAGATATACATGTGTAAGCCAAAAACTGCATTTTACCCCTATTTTTAGCCATGGCGGCCATGTTTTTTGACGAAACAGAAAATAAAACACAAACTTTATTCAAGATACACTAAGGATCATTCAGCTTAAGTTTGGTTGGAATTGGTTCAGTAGTTTCAGAGGAGAAGATGTTCGAAATAGTTTACACCAGACGGACGACAACGACGGACGACAACGGACGCCAAGTGATGACTAAAGCTCACTGTTCCTTCAGAACGGTGAGCTAAAAATGTCCATTAATGGCCTTGGCTTGATCAATTGGAAATTGGATGAAGCTTACAGGTGATCCAAAATTATGTCCAACTTCATGTGCAAATGTCAGCTGAGATACACGTGGAGCTACATCATCACCATAATTCACCAGAGTCACAATACCAGTGTTCAGTGACTTCATTACTTGTTTACCACCTTCTGGGAAAGACTTGTACTTCTCACATATACCTCCAGAGGCCTCTGTTATAAAATAATAGATTTATCTATTTTATTACCATCCAGTGACAAATAATGCATGCATATTCAGGATGAGAGCAAATTAACAATTTAGCAATTTGATAGTTTCTGTTGTCCTACTTTGGCCTTTTATAGCTTACAATAAATTATGGGTTTTGTTCAAATTTGGAAAGAGAACAGTTACCAGTAATTTCTCACACAACTTTGTCGTTTGGTTTTTTAAATAGTTGTCTCAATAGCAATTATACAACCTCTTCTCATTTTTATGTTTATAACATAGTATCATGATTTATGGATTAAAGGTTTATAAGATGGTGCATTGAATATAGGAAAATCAATGCAGTAACCAGCAAAGATTAATATCTACTACCAAATATTGAAGAATGGTTGAACACCTTTATAGAGGGAGCAAGTTATTACATTGGACCTTCAGAAAAGGTAATAGAAGTTGCAACCAAGGATTACTGCAAAACAGCATTCACAACTCGTTAAAGACTGTTGAAAGACACTTAAATGCTGTTTGGGCTTTGTGGAGCACCAGGAACATTTCAACAGGCAATGAAATTAGAACTGTGGGGTCTCCAGTGGGAAATTGTTTTTATCTACCTTGACAAAGTAATTATAGCCATCCAGGATTTTGAAGCTCACACAAGCATTTTTTTTTAAAATTTAGCGATCATGGTCTTAAACTTGAACCCATCAAATGTAAGCTGTTTTAAAAAGAGAGTTCTGTTTCTTGGACATAATGTCATTGCAAGGAGTATAGAGACCAATTCTCATTAACCAAGATGTATAAATTTTTTACATCACTGGGTCGATACCTCTGCTGGTGGACTATCAGTCCCTGAGGGTTTCATCAGCTCAGTAGTCAGTACTACGGTACTGACATGATTTAACAAACTTTTCTTAAATTGTCCGTTTATAAATTTTGAAATTATTAAGAAACTAAGGTTTCAACTCCCTCAGGCAAAGTTGACTTTAGATGAATTTGGCTATCAATTTTAGGTATTTTTGTCATATAGCTCTTCAACGGTTTCAGTACTTATACATCCTCGGATTTCAAATGTTTGGCTTTGAGCGTTCCTGATGAAGGTAAATCCAGAAAAGCGCTTCGGACGCATTGAAATTATTAATCGTGTTGTTTTCAATTTTTTGAGGCTTATCATTATTTATTGATTTTAAACGAAGGTCTAACCCCTCTGAATTCCAATGTAGCTTGGATATGAGAAACTAAAAACAAACTGTGATTGAAGTGTGTTGATATGTTAAAAAGACTACAATAAATTCTACTTACGTCCAGAAGATCCAACCCAAGCAAGCCCCAGCGTTCCCTGTGTAAAGTCTCTGTATGTAAAGATGTATGCCAAACAAAAAGCAGAATGATTTATAAGTGAGTTCTCATTCAGGAAGTTACTGACATCGATGTTGTCACTACACAGGGTTTTTGGTTGGGATGATGAACACCCTTCTGATGTGGGTGTCATTATCTGAAATAATTTATTAAAGATAATTTCAATTTAAACAACATTTATATTTTTATATGTACAAATCTGTTAAATTCACAAACTATTCAGGGTTTCTTTTTCCTGACACACATTTTACTTGACATATCCTGGTAACCATGCTGAAAAATGTAAAGTGAATAATATTAGACACTTAAAATGAAAAATGATTTCATGCCAAATTAAATGAGTGAAACTATTATCAGATATATTCAAACACTTTTGCTGGTAATAAAACTAAAAATCATGATGATTTCCTGCTATTTGATAAACAGAACAAACTTGCAGTTGAATTCGGAATCAGTCTTAAATTAATTAACTTGAAACTTTTTTTATTTATTTCTCAAAATCAATAGAAGCATGGTTGATTCCTGAAAAATTTACAGTTCTAAGTCATTGAAATAATCTATACATTCTATAATTTGTTCTTCAAATGTCTTAAGAAAAATGGATAGAAATTTCATGAAGTAAATGCAGTGAAACCTTCAATACAACTTTCTTGATGCTGGAATCTAGTATAAATTTGACAGTTTGAAACAGGCCACCTACGGTCCTATCAAAGAGTTGTTTCAACGGTTCTTAACGTAGAGTGTGTAGTACTCTTTTTTCAAGAGGCATATGATTTAACGCCCCCATTCCGACCGGAGGTGGCTGCGTACTTGTACATCCACCACAGCCAAACGGACACCCAATTTGGCAAGAGTATTACAGCCTAATGGAAGAAAACCTGTAGTGACCATATTTCTATTCCTTAGTCACCCTTTTGGGTGGCATTCAGTGACAAAATGATTTCCTTTATTTATCAGAACTACGATTCAAAGCTGATTAGCAAATGACTATCGTCTTAAATGGAAATATTTTTCATAATATATACAAAAGGCATAATGGTCCGGCTTTCTAGTTTTCTTTCTTTGTTTCAGAAATTTAAATTGTTACACCAGACATTGTAGAGGCTGTCCAGGATGAAGGTCGGGAAAATTTGGACTACCGCGGGAAAATGAGGGTATATTGAATAGGGACAGAAATTTAGCCTTGCAAAAGGCCACCTACGGACCCCTCAAAGAGTTGTTGCAAGGGTTCTTAACGTTCAAAGAGTGTTGCACTCTCTCTACACGAGGCATCAGACTTAACGTCTTCATTCTGTCTGGACGTGGCTGCGTACTTGATACATCCCGCAAAGCCAAATGGACGCCCCACTTCGGTGAGGGTTCTACTGCCAGTCGGAGGAAGACCAGTGGTGACCCTTTTAAGGCTTCTCAATTATCAAAAATGATTTATAAACAGAGAACTGTTCTGGACAGGTAATGAACGTAAATCGGTAACAAATAGACTGTTCATCGTAACACCGTAATTTGGGTCCAAAAATCGTAACAATTACAGGAAAATCGTAATGGTTGGCATCTATGTACGAACTGCTGAAAGCCTTTTTGATTTTTTGTTTTTTTATGAATAAAACCCTGCAACTCGGAAACGTAAAATCTAAAATATATAAAAATCAAAAGCTCATGTCAATAGATATAAACAATTCACCACAATTTCTTGCAAGTTGGTGAAAGCATTCTTGAGTTATTGTCCGAAAACTGGAAAATCCCCCTTTTTTCAATGATTAAAACCCCATAACTCAGAAACGTAAAATCTAAAATTTATAAAAAACGAAAGGGAGCTCATGTCAATAGATGTAAACAGTCATCAAAGTTTTATGCAAATTGGTTTAAGCATTTTTGAGTTAATGTCCGACATGTTGATGACGGACAGACAGACTGACAACGGTATACCAAAATACGTCCCGTAAACGGGCGTATAAAAACAACTCGAGATTGGTGTATTTCTAAGTTGTGCTTACTTTAGTTCTCTGGATTTTAAATCTGACTCCTGAGTAGTTTATCGAGTTATCAAATGTTTTAAACACTGTGTTTGAGTAGATGGTGTTAATGGCATCAACATGGGAGGCAAAGGTTCCTACAATATCTTCTTTAGCTAACACGTCCTTCTGTAAATATAAAAGTTCCTACAATTTCTTCTTCAGCTTAAAATTCATACTGTTTATACAACTATTTTTTTCTTTTATGTGCATTCACTTGTACATTAAGATCATGCCCCCGCTTGCATATAACGTTATAAAGAGACATAATTCAAGAATGGTAAAAGCGACACCATCCAAATTTTATCTTAATCTGACTTTTGTAGTAATAAGCATTGTGTATAAACTTCATAACATTTGGTTGAGGCAAACTAATCTTAGAATAAAAATATGGATTTAGTTTGGACAGACGTACTGACAGACAAGGGTAACACTTAATGTGGCAGGGGCATAAAACTATACTGTAAATAGATTGTAACTAATGTTTGCATCTGCTATTTCATTTAAGGTAGATGGGGGGTTTAAATCAAAATCCATAGAATTTTTTAATAATTTGTCAAAATGTAGTTTACATCATGCTTTTTTCTAAAATATAATAAAAAGTATGGGTCACCGAGCATTTTTTCACGCTACGGGTTGTGCAAAATTGTCAGATTTTGTATAGATTATGCATGGAAAACCCAATTTTGTGTGATAAAAAGAAAACTACATCATATAATTTTAAGGTAAAATATGAGACCATAACTTAATTAAATGCTTCCAGATAAGAAAAAGAAATAATGGGGTCACCAGACTCGTTTTCTTGCTACATAATAAGATAGGTAAATTCACAACACATTCTATTGTAAAAGTAACTTTATCTGAGTTATCTCCCTTTATATCTGAGTTATCTACCCTTATATGGCAAAGTTTTAACAAGAGTGCACACGCTGAAATGTCTCGCCTTCTTTACTAACCATTTATATAATGTTGATAGTCCTAAATGAAAGCTTTACTACAACTATTACACAAACTTAACATGATCCAAGAAAATGAAGTCAAGGTCATATAAACCAAACGAGAAATATATGTACACCTTACAATCATTCAATACACTAAATATAGTTGACCTATTGCTTATAGTTTCTAAGAAACAGACTTAACCAAGAAATCTAAACATTGATCAATGAATCGTGAAAATGAGGTCAAGGTCAGATGAACCATGCCAGGCAGACATGAACAGCTTACAATCCTTCCATACAACATATATAGCTGACCTATTGCTTATAGTTTAAGAAAAACAGACTGAAACACATAAACTTAACACTGAGCAATGAACCGTGAAAATGAGGTCAAGGTCAAATAAAACCTGCGAGACTGACATGTACTTCATAGAATATTTCCATACACCAAATATAGTTGATTTATTGCATATAGTATAAGAAAAAAGACCAAAACTCAAAAACTTAACTTTGACCACTGAACCATGAAAATGAGGTCAAAGTCAGATGACACCTGCCAGTTGGACATGTTCACCTTACAATCATTCCATACACCAAATATAGTAGACCTATTGCATAAAGTATAAGAAAAACGGACCAAAACACAAAAACTTAACTATAACCACTGAACCATGAAAATGAGGTCAAGGTCAGATGACACCTGCCAGCTAGACATGTACACCTTACAATCATTCCATACACCAAATATAGTAGAGCTATTGCTTATAGTATCTGAGATATGGACTTGACCACCAAAACTTAACCTTGTTCACTTATCCATGAAATGAGGTCGAGGTCAAGTGAAAACTGTCTGACAGGCATGAGGACCTTGCAAGGTACGTACATACCAAATATAGTTATCCTATTACTTATTATAAGAGAGAATTTAACATTACAAAAAATCTTAACTTTTTTTTCAAGTAGTCACTGAACTATGAAAATGAGGTCAAGGACATTGGACATGTGACTGAAGGAAACTTCGTAACATGAGGCATCCATATACAAAGTATGAAGCATCCAGGTCTTCCACCTTCTAAAATATAAAGCTTTTAAGAAGTTAGCTAACGCCGCCGCTGCCAGATCACTATCCCTATGTCGAGCTTTCTGCGACAAAAGTCGCAGGCTTGACAAAAAAATGAATAAAACAAAAATATTCTTTTTTTTTCTAAAATATAGCCATAAATATGATAAAAAAATGATTTTCTATATTAACTTTAAGAGTCTTACACACATGAATGACATACTCCTCTCGAAATTTGCACATTTCATTAAATATCTAGACCGATTATTATCTGCTTTTTCAAAATCCAAGATGGAGGAAGACACCCATCTTCCTTAAAGTATTTTGATAGTTTTAATAAAGAACGGTATAAGTGACGCCACCCAATTTCGAACTTGATCTGTATTTTATGGTAATAAGCATTGTGTATAAGTTTCATAACATTTGGTTGAGGCAAACTAAAGTTAGGGAACGGAAACGAAAAATTCAACAATTTTTATGTTTAGAAAGGGGCATATCTCAAGAACGGTAAAAGTGACGCCACCCAATTTCAAACTTGATCTGTATTTTGTAGTAATAAACATTGTTTTTAAGTTTCATAACATTTGGTTGAGGCAAACAAAAGTTAGAGAACGGAAACCAACTTTGGGACGTACGGATGGAGGGACAAGGGTAAAACTTAATGCCCCCTCCGCTACGGCGGGGGCATAAAAATTTTCAAATAGGTAAATGTTATGCACTGATCTTGATATTGCTTTAATGTATAGATTCTTTGATAATATTGTTTTTGTCGAAGATTTCACAGCAAGTAATTGTAGCCAATTGCATTAAGGGTGCCATCTGAGAAAAAAAAAATCAAAATATAACCTTTTACTTACTTTATAAGCTGAATAAACCTTGTTGTATAATTTTGGATCTGCCTGCATGAACAGAAAACATGCATTTTTATCAACAAGTGTTCCACGCTTCTCTCTGTTCAGAGCTTCAGAATATTTGTTATGGTATGAAAATGCCTCTTTATCTTCAGAGTAGGACTGAAAAAAAAAATGCCAATCTTATTAAAGTTTATCTAATTTTGTTTGCTGAAGATTTGCTCAAATTATGATACTACAATAGTAATTTATTGGCATATAGACATATGATGGTTTGTGACAAAGAATAAATTCCACATATTTAAAAAAAAAAAAAAAGAACAACTCAGTTCACAACAATCTTTCTTTTCTTTATAAAAAAAAAAATAGTGAACTCCAAGGAAAATTTATCAAATGGCAAAATCAAAAGCTCAAACACATCAAACAAATGGATAACAACTGTCATATTCCTGACTTGGTACAGGCATTTTCTTATGTAGAAAATGGTGGATTAAACCTGGTTTTAAAGCTAGCTAAACCTCTCACTTGTATGACAGTCGCATAAAATTTCATTATATTGACATCGATGTGTGAACAAAACAAACAGACACAATAGGTAAAAATGTCAAAAATAAGGGTACCAGGGGCGTATCCAGGATTTTGGAAAGGGGGGGGGGCGTAGTATAGGGGTACAGCAGTCAACTATATTACTTTAAAATGAGGATTAACATATGGACAAAACTATATACTGTAGATTCATTATTTGTCGTTGGAAACCAATTTTTGCATGGTTTTTGTGGGTTCAGGTGAACCACAAATTTAGATGTTCAACAAATTACAAATTTTCTATCAGGTTATATGCAGACTTTGGCAAAACAACGAAATCACATATCCACGAAAAGGCAAGTTTTCCACAATCCACGATAATTGGTACCCACGAAAATAAATGAATCCACAGTATTAAAACTAATATCAGTTACCCTCCTGACTCTGTAGTTTTCTGTGTCAGCTGAATTGGCAACAGTTTCCATCCATTCATGAACCTGCCTGTTACCATTTCCACAAGAAGCAATTGCATTTTCTGCTTCTCTTCTTAACCTACAATAATATAAAATAGTCATGACATAACTTGTGTGTTTTTTGCTGTGCATGTACTGATTTTATGTCATACATGGATACCCCATATCCTTTGTTTTTCTATTAGTGAACAATGACCTATCAGTAGAGTATGTACTTCAACATGATTCTTTGATATACATGTATTATAATATAGATTATTGATTTGCTTCAACGTGTGTATTTGTTTACTTTAATATTAGTGTTATTTTCATAGCTTGCTATGCAGTATGGGTTTTGCTCATTGTTGAAGGCTGAGCAGTGGCTTATAGTTGCTAATTATTACATCTTTTTGGTCTCTGGTGGAGAGTTGTCTCATTGGCAATCATACCACATTTTCTGATTTTTATATTCAGTGATTTTTTTTTGTACTGATTTGTTTATTGCACATTCTTTTAGTGTATCTTTTGTTATATCAAAAACTTAAATTCAGTTCAGTTCAATTAACATATTGAAAAATTCAAAGTATCTGCAAACAGGAAGTAACTGTCTCCTGACAGATCTGAACATTGCTCACACATTACAACTCATTGAAGCTGCTGACCACATTTGATGGCTTTCTATCAAGCAGTACTTGATAAAAGTGTGAAAGAAATGTTTGTAATGAAGCAATAGAGCTCCCTCTCTCAGAACGAAAAGGGCGAGGGTGTGTGTGTAAAATAAGATCCAAATCAAAACATGAAAATGTATTGTTTTGTTTGACCGCAGTAGCTGGTATTCATATTACCTGTGTGGATCTAAATCTATGTGCTCCTCCTTATATATAATAGTATGTGATTTAGGAAGCTCCTTGACTCTACCAATAAATCGTTTTACTGGTTCTATATGATATGTAGTGTCCTGTGGAATTCTGATGGTTCCACGGAAATGTCCATCGACAATGTAACCAAATACACTGCTGCCTCCCGATCCTGAGAAATATAAAAACAGAAATAAGTTGACCTTGAAGTACGATGGGATTTGTAGATGCAGCCAGTCTGTCCACCTGTCATACATTTAATATCAAAATTACCCAAATATTTTACTTATTGACAAAGTTACAGCTATGCATAGGAACTATTTTGTTTAAAATATGTACTACTTTTATGCAATTTTTTGTTCCTTCTGACCGTGCAGAATTAGTGGTTCTATACCTATAACATGTATAATAGTGACAGCCATGAAATGGCAGTCAATTCAGTTAAATGGCGAAATTTTGAAAATCTTGACTATTTGACTTGTTCATGGTTAGAAATATATAGATTCCACCACTGCAACAAGTTTGTTACTATATTTTTCCACTCGAGACAGTTTAATTTTAATATTTAAAGCACAAGGCTTGCTGAGCTTTTAAATAATGAAAATTTAACTGCTGAGAGTGGAGAAATATCGTAATACACGAGTTATAGTGGTGGAATCTGTTTCTCTAATGATTTTTATCCTTCCTTTTCAAAGATTTGCAGAATGTTGTGTTCTTTATATGTGACGTCATCAGGCATGGTCGCCTTTTTTCATGACGTCACGATAGGAAATTCAGAGGAAACCAAGAAAATTTTACATCATAATTAAATTTTGACCAATCATTTGCCGAGAACAGATATTTCACTAGTGAGGAGAAATATTTTTCTCACACCGATCAAGAAATGTGAAAATAGCACAAAAATTAGAGAAAATAAATAGCAAAACCGTCTCCAAAAAAGATATTTAAAAAGTTAGTTTACTTTGTGTTTAACTTTTCACTGGAACAAGATTATTTTGGGCAACATTTGTGCTCTAAGTTAAACTTAGCCAAAACATTCTTACTTTTTAGATAAGAATTTGACAAATCTCTCTTCTGACGTCACTTCAATCAAAGATGTCACAGTCAGTGTCACAAAGAATTAACTAATATTCACATTTTCTGAAAAACTTTTCTTATGATGTTTAAAAATTCGTAAGGGTTCCGCGGAACCCAGTGTCTCGCCTACTTTTTCTGTTAATTGCAGGCTCAACAAAAATTAGTAAGTAAATCAATAAAAATATTCCTCTTGATACTATCTTTTGATTGTAAGAAGCTTCTGTCCAAGTTTGGTAAAAATCCAGGATAGTTTATAATTCTAATAAATGTTTAAAAACTTTAACTGCAGACTGAATGTAATGTTAACTGGAAGAAAACAAAATTTCCTTCTAGAAACTAGCATTTGATCATAAACAAGCTTCTGTCCTAGTTTGGTACAAATCCAAAATAGTATAAGAAAGTTATTAAAATTTTAAAAAATTTAACCACAGAGTGAATATGTTGTTTCCTGGCTGAAAATCTAAGTCCATTTAAAAGTAAAATACGGAAAAAATGGATTTATTTTTTTACAAAATTTCCTTCTAGATACTAGCTTTTGATCATAAACAAGCTTCTGTTCAAGTTTGGTACAAATCCAAAATAGTATAAGAAAGTTATTAAAATTTTAAAAACATTAACCACAGAGTGAATGTGTTGTTTCCTGGCTGAAAATCTAAGTCCATTTAAAAGTAAAATAAGGAAAAAATGGATTTATTTTTTTACAAAATTTACTTCTAGATACTATCTTATGATCATAAACAAGCTTCTGTCCAAGTTTGGTACAAACCCAGGATAGTTAAGAAAGTTATTAAAATTTTAAAAACTTTAACCACAGAGTGAATGTAATATTTCCCGGCAGAAAAACTAAGTCCATTTATAAGTAAAATATGGAAAAAATGGAATTTTATTTTTACAAAATTTACTCCTGGATACTATCTTATGATCATAAACAAGCTTCTGTCCAAGTATGGTAGAAATCCAGGATAGTTTAAGAAAGTTATTAAAATTTCAAAAACTTTAACCACAGAGTGAATATTTGTGGACGCCGCCGACGCCGACGGAATGTAGGATCGCTATGTCTCGCTTTTTCGACTAAAGTCGGAGGCTCAACAAAAATGTGATTATTAATGACATCAATCAAAGTTCTATTTTTGGTGAATTAGCCACAAAGTAGCCTTGCTCTTTACTGTAACTACTGCTGAAACCATAGGATTTAATATGTCTGATAGGACAAATACATACCCTCTTCTGTTCCCCTGTATATATGTGATGTATCTAATGGACCATGCTTGTCTAACCATGCATCTTTTGTAAACACTAATTTGTCTGGCTCTAATACTAAATTAAAATCTCTGAAACACAGAAGAAAATAATTAAATATTATTGAATACAGCATAATTTTATTAACAACATACGAAAAGGGTAGATATTAGGTTTCATTTTACAGTGTAATATCTTAGTAAAGTTTTTTATTGAAGTATGATTAATTGACATTCAAGCTGTTGTCTAGATGTTCTCCCATATGTTATACCACTACAATTTTTTGTATTGGATGGTCTCCCCTTTAAACCTAAATGGATTATCTCCCTTTAATGTAGTGGTACTAAAACGTTCTCATATTATTTCGTTTCGGACAAAAGTTAAGGTTCAAATTCTCTGTCAGCAATTCAATTCTGAAAAAAAATCATGTCTTATACTTAAATAGCTACATATATGGACTTCTTCCTCTCACAGGAGCTTGTATTAATTTGATAACATGTAAGAGGGTATGTGTGGGGTTTACAGAACAGAGAAAAATGGCCTAAAAATTTAAAGAATACAGATATTAAGGACCCCCCCATCCAGACTTTCATGTAATCAGGGGAAGCTATTTAGCAGAACACCTACTCAGTTCCCTTCCTTTGACACATAAATCTATATCCTACATCTATCCAAGAAATTTATGTGAAGATTTTCTTTTCTTTAACAATTTCCAGCTCATTTCTTTTATGCCCCCCCTCTTTTTATCCCAATCCTAATCATTTGTCACCCTTAATTCCTCATTCAAATTTATAATATTGTAAGCCATCAAACTGATTTTAATATACATTACTTTATATGTGAAAAAAAAATAATACACTGATTTGTCAATGTTTGTTGTTAAAGGATTTTTTAAATTGTGTAGTGTAAACAAACTTATTGAGCATGTATTTGACAGCTGTCAGATAATTGAAAAAAATGTGATAGAGATATAAATGTGAAAAACATCTGTATGAGTAATTCTTTTAAATCATGTTATAATAAGATGGTGGTGAAATTTTCTGTCTTTAGGCTTTTTATGATGACAATCACTTTATAAATAAAGGTTCAGTCATCCGACGACTTTCTGACATGGACTGTTTGTAAACACACAAATAATCTACTCAAGCAAATTATCATTTTGTGAGAAAAATCAAAGTAATGGAAATTTTATGCTGTATTAAAACTTCAAAGAAATTTGTGCATCAATAAATACTACCTACAGAAATAATTTACATATTATAAACCCAATAAACTTACCTTTTAAACGCACTAAATTTAAATCTCAACTTTTTATCACTTAAAGATCGTTTCGTCCGTAGATGTGATTGATGTAGCTCTGAAGTACTGTAATCTAACTCTTCATAATGTTTTATATATGTATCTAAGGATTTCTGTTCTGTAAAGAGAATACAATATATATTTAACTTTGATAATATATAATATAAAAAGTTGATATGTGATCTATTAAGTACTGACATTTTTATTTTATACAGTCATTTTTATTTCATACAGTCATTTTTATTTTATACAGTCATTTTATTTCTGTATATCATGATGGTCATGTTGCCATTCACCAAGTATAATATAGGGAAAAAGGTACTGTGGATTCATTATTATTCGTTGGATACCAATTTTCGTGGATTTCGTGAGTACAGGTGAACCACAAAATTAAATGTTAAACGAATAACAAATTTCCCATAGGCTTGTATGCAGACTTCGTAAAAACCACGAAATTCAATATCAACGAACATGTAAGTTTTCCTTAATCCACGAAAATTGGTATCCACGAAAATAAATGAATCCACAGTAGTATTTTTTCTCCATAGGCATTATATTATACCCTTAATACATTTAATCACAGTGCTCAAAATTAAAGTTGACTTCCTTTATCTGCCTTGGCTACACAAAAGGCCAACCTAAGCCAGGGAAATGTAATACTACTTTTTTACTTATATCAATGTACATGACTGTCAGATATTTGGTATAAACTAAATTTTGAATAAATAACTAGATGCTACGGTACAACACAATGTATGCTAAATCTCATTGTATTAGCTTCTAATTGTCTAATGTTAAATGGACATTTCCGGGCATTTTAATGTTTTTCTCTTGAAAAGTCAATTTATTCCGGATTGATTAAAAGAGGAAAAGGGACAGACTATGTTGCTTAATTATACAGCAGCTTGAAATCCATCAAAGACATGTCCTTCAGGTGAGGTCCTGTTTGAGGAATTTTCAGTCCCTGTCTTCTTTTTAATAATTTACTCATGATTGCTAAAACACCAATTCACCTCTCCTTTCTTATCATATATATTACCCGTTAGTGTATTTGATATATAAAAAAAGAGATGGGGTATGATTTCCAATATGACAACTTTCCACCAGAGTTTAAATGACGAAGATATTAGCAATTATAAAGTTTTTCAGAAACCTTAGTTTCATCCACTGAAATAAGCACAACTATTTTTTAACACTATACACATTTAAATACTTGATTTATTTATACATTTTAGTTTTACATTCTTCATTTATGCATTTTAGTTTCTCACTTTTCATTTATGCATTTTAGTTTTACATTCTTCATTTATGCATTTTAGTTTTACATTCTTCATTTATGCATTTTAGTTTCTCACTTTTCATTTATGCATTTTAGTTTTACATTCTTCATTTATGCATTTTAGTTTTACATTCTTCATTTATGCATTTTAGTTTCTCACTTTTCATTTATGCATTTTAGTTTTACATTCTTCATTTATGCATTTTAGTTTTACATTCTTCATTTATGCATTTTAGTTTTACATTCTTCATTTATGCATTTTAGTTTCTCACTTTTCATTTATGCATTTTAGTTTTACATTCTTCATTTATGCATTTTAGTTTTACATTTTTCATTTATGCATTTTAGTTTTACATTCTTCATTTATACATTTTAGTTTTACATTTTTCATTTATGCATTTTAGTTTTACATTCTTCATTTATACATTTTAGTTTTACATTTTTCATTTATGCATTTTAGTTTTACATTCTTCATTTATACATTTTAGTTTTACATTTTTCATTTATGCATTTTAGTTTTACATTTTTCATTTATGCATTTTAGTTTTACATTCTTCATTTATGCATTTTAGTTTCTCACTTTTCATTTATGCATTTTAGTTTTACATTCTTCATTTATGCATTTTAGTTTTACATTCTTCATTTATGCATTTTAGTTTCTCACTTTTCATTTATGCATTTTAGTTTTACATTCTTCATTTATGCATTTTAGTTTTACATTCTTCATTTATGCATTTTAGTTTTACATTCTTCATTTATGCATTTTAGTTTCTCACTTTTCATTTATGCATTTTAGTTTTACATTCTTCATTTATGCATTTTAGTTTTACATTCTTCATTTATGCATTTTAGTTTTACATTCTTCATTTATGCATTTTAGTTTCTCACTTTTCATTTATGCATTTTAGTTTTACATTCTTCATTTATGCATTTTAGTTTTACATTCTTCATTTATGCATTTTAGTTTTACATTCTTCATTTATGCATTTTAGTTTCTCACTTTTCATTTATGCATTTTAGTTTTACATTCTTCATTTATGCATTTTAGTTTTACATTCTTCATTTATGCATTTTAGTTTTACATTCTTCATTTATGCATTTTAGTTTTACATTCTTCATTTATGCATTTTAGTTTCTCACTTTTCATTTATGCATTTTAGTTTTACATTCTTCATTTATGCATTTTAGTTTTACATTCTTCATTTATGCATTTTAGTTTTACATTCTTCATTTATGCATTTTAGTTTTACATTCTTCATTTATGCATTTTAGTTTTACATTCTTCATTTATGCATTTTAGTTTTACATTCTTCATTTATGCATTTTAGTTTCTCACTTTTCATTTATGCATTTTAGTTTTACATTCTTCATTTATGCATTTTAGTTTTACATTTTTCATTTATGCATTTTAGTTTTACATTCTTCATTTATACATTTTAGTTTTACATTTTTCATTTATGCATTTTAGTTTTACATTCTTCATTTATACATTTTAGTTTTACATTTTTCATTTATGCATTTTAGTTTTACATTCTTCATTTATACATTTTAGTTTTACATTTTTCATTTATGCATTTTAGTTTTACATTCTTCATTTATGCATTTTAGTTTTACATTCTTCATTTATGCATTTTAGTTTTACATTCTTCATGACTATAATCTTGTTTTCAATTATCTTGAGGTCAAATAGTTCAAAATCAAAAGATATGTTACATGAAAGTCAATTGTAGTGTTTGACTTTAGTGCCCCAAGATAAAAGATAAATTCACACAGAGTTATAACAGTTGATAATAGTTATTATAAAGATTTTTTCCTTCCAGCTAAAGATATAAAAGTTACAAATACCAAATACGTTTTACATCTACACCTACATATGTCCTTAGTATTTGGAAATTTTCATTTGTTGATTTGAAACTCAAAGCAAAGTTAAGCTTGTGTTGTTCGTAAGGCCTCTTGTGTTCTTTCTTTGATTTTCAACTCAAAGCCAATTAAATATTTTTTGGTGATTTGTGTAATTGTAAGGTCGTGGCCTCATTTGACATTTCCTTATATTCATACATGTACAAACAATGTACCAGTATATACTTTTTTTTGTTTGAAGTATATTTTTGGATGCACTTAAGATTGCATCATTCATTTTTTTTTTATTATTAATTTTTATCAGGTATGCTTAGCCCAAACCTAAAATTGTGGATGTATAATCACGATATTTACAAAGCTAGAGAGATTATCAAGATTATTATACTTTTTATCTACATTAAAATGCATGAAATGTCATTATGTAATTATCAAAAAAAATCAAAACTGTGCATGTATAATCACAATATTTACAAACATGACAAAGTTCAAAATTATTAAAATTATTTTACTTTTCATTGTAAATATAAATGTCATTATTAATTTTTATATCATAAATGATAAGATAAATAGAAAATGAAAGGATATGGAGTAAATGTACATTGGACAAAATCGCACACAATACATAGAAAACATAGAAAATTATCAATGAACAGGGCTTTTATTCCTGTTCTTCATCTTGACAGTTGATGTAGGGTCTTTAACAATGAACGAATCATTCATACCCTACAACAAGGCCAAGGCGGGCCCAAGCGTCGCCTTAAGCGGTACTATTGATAAAAATAAACCACAGTTCACCTTCTTGCTCCCTACCTGCCTTTGTTACAATTAAATGAAGTTTTTATTTATGAAATCTAACAGTAGTACAGTAGCTGAAATCTGGACAGGTCAATAGTAATTATTATTTTAAGGTTTTAACTCCGCTGCAAAACGTATGAAAATCTTGAACTTCTCCATAAATACCCTAGTAATCGTCAAGAGCGCAAAAGAATATTTTATATTTCTATATGTAATAAAATAGAAAAACAAAGGGAATGGGGCAGGGTATCCATCCATGACACAAAATCAGTACATGCACAGAAAAAAACACACAATACAGGGGCGGATCCAGCCATTTTTAAATGGGGGGTTCCCAACCCAGGATAAAGGAAGGGGGGGTTCCAACTATCTGTCCCCATTCAAATGCATTGATCGTCAAGAAGAAAGGGGTGTTCCAAACCCTGGAACCCCCCCCCCCCCCCCCCCTTTCTGGATCCGCCACTGCAATATGTATATGACTTAGTATAACACATTTCATCAGTAATATTCTCTATTCTTTATATTTTTGCCATTTATTCTGCACATTTTGCCATTTATTATCTATTTTGTAAACCCTATCCATACTCTCCTTTCCTGCTATATTGTACATGTATATGGCTAAGTATAACACATTTCACCTGTATTTCCAGGTACATTTGTATATAATCAGATTGTGTCAATATCGTTGTTTAGAAGAAAAGAGAAAAAAATGGACTAAAAATTTAAAGAATACAGAAATGAAGGACCCCCATCCACATCCCCATACATGAAGATCTTGTTATCCATAAATACCCTAGTAATGTCAGAGCTCAAAAGAATATTCTATATTTCTATATTGCTACATGTATATGGCTAAAGTATACCAGCTGACAATTCACCTGTTATTCTAGGTACATTTGTATATAATCAGATTGTGTCAATATCCTGGGTTATTGTATAGATGTCAGTTCAATTAGTTTTATAACACCTGAGAAAATGTAAATGAAGTACAATGTATTAACCTTGTCACCTTGTGTGGGATTATTTCAAGAAATAACTGTATAAATGTGTATTAATCAGTGTTAATGTAGGTCAAACTTGGGTGAAAGAATGGCAACCTTTTCAAAGCCAGTGGAAAAAAAATTGTAAACAGGGGGTCTGGGGAAACGATTATTGTAAAATTCTTATCTAGAAAAAACAAATTG